ATAGCCATTGTCAGCTTGTTTTCCTTTTCTTGCTCGTCTCCTTCTCCTAGTCTCATTAGGACATTCCACACTTCCATAGCATTCTTGCATTTTCGGACTCTTGGAAACATGGAATCATCCAGAGAGTTGTAGAGAAGGTTTCTTGCTACATTGTCCAGATTTGCTCTTGCTCTATCTTCTGAGGAGTACTGGTCTTTTGGTTTTGTTATCATCTGTGGAGCTCCTGCACCCTGTGCGGCTGCTTGAGTATTCACCATCATGATTGTGATTGGTCCGGTTGTTATGACGTCCCACATTTCATCATGAATGGAGCATAGGAGAGCCTGCATTCTTAACTTCTAGTCATCAAATTTAGCAAGACTAAATGCAAGTTGTTTGGAGCGATGAGCATGTTCCTTTTCCATTTTTAAAAAAAACGTGCAAAGAAAATATGCAAGATTTTCAAGAGATTTTCGAATAGGGATCTACCAGGCAGTAAATGCAAAGCCTTTACCGAACAAGGTATTGGCTCTGATACCACTTGTTGGTCCCGATAGAATGAGATGAGAGTCTAGAGGGGGGGGGGGGGGGGTGAATAGACTCTCTTCGTTAGAAGCCCTAAACGTCACCTTTCGGTGTCTTGGCGCAGCGGATAAGATAGATTCGTTTTAAAATACTTTGCACGAGTTTACGTAATTAGACAAACTTTCGGTAAAGATAATGAAGAAAAGATATGAGAGCAAAATAAAAAGCGTAAGTAAGAAGATAAGGAGGACACGAGATTTTATAGTGGTTCGGCCAAAGTTGCCTACTCCACTCTTCTTCCACAACTGTTGGAAGGATTGCACTATCACTCTTAGTACAATTACACAAAGACTTCCTTGATCACTAAGCCGGACAGCCTTCGTAGGTTTTTCAACTCCTCGAGTTTACTCCGCCTCTATCAACTTCTTCTCCTGAGTTGAGGTTGGTAGAAAATGCTTTCTTGAATTCTCCAACAAACAGATCTTGACTCTGAGATATGATAGCTTCAAACTGATGTCAAGACTTCCTTGAGGTGTAAGACAAGTGATTCTCCAAGTAACTTAACACCTCAAAAAAAAAACTGGTTCACAAAAGCTTTTTGTAAATCGTAGACGTTTCAAGAGCTTTTGTAAGTGAGTAAGTCGAGTGGTAATGAACCAGCCCCTTCTTAGATGATGAAGGTGAGTTTATATAGGTGATGAAAATTCATCCGTTGGAGGGAGATGAACTTTTCGAACCTTTTAACCATTGGACAAGGACCGGGGAGCTTCATGCATTAAATGCTCCATTAATGAGGTTGTACCATGTAGCCGTTGAAGGTATGGAAAGCATTAGGGTTTTGTCCTTTAGCTCCAAGAGATAGTACATCTTCATTTAATGCTTCTTGAAAAGTGAGTCCCATAAAATAAAGTCCTTATTGTCCTAGGATGTTGTCAAATCAGACAGGTGAAACATTCTTCTCGTTGTTGAAGAGAAGCAATGTTTAATGAAGATCGTCTTTTACAAACACTGTCCTTTCGTGTTTGTTGACAACTCCTGCTTGACTCTCGTTGTTGTTCTTCATGTCTCGTGTCTTCTTTCGCCTTGGAGATCCTAACATCTAGTCATAACTCATTTTCGTGTGTTTGTCTAGCTTAACACGAATTACAAAGGAGTTATGGCAACTCTCGTCTAGGACGAAAGTAGCGAAACAAAAGCAGCTAAAGGTTAGGGGTCTACTTTTCTACATTACATTGGTATCATCAAAATCCTAATACAATGTTCCTAACAAACTCTAATCCAAAAAGTAAGAATATATAGTTAACATATTCTGGACCTGCAATTAATAATTTCTGTATCTGTAAACATATTAAAAGCACATAAAATAATAATTACAAACAAATAACATGGTAACTACAGACATAAATTATTAACTGCATGTACAGAATATGTTAATTGCAGACACATAAGATGTTGATTAACATGTTATGTGTCTGCAATAACATATTTTGTATATCTAGTAACAATTTATGCGTGTAGTTATCATGTTATTGTTTGTAATTTTCATGTGATGCATCTTCAATTTGTTTACATGTACAAAAACAGTTCACTGCATGTACATAATGTGTTAACTGCAAGGACAAAAGAGTTGTTATACCATGGACCAGGGTCTACCTGCAAGGTGGACATTGCAAGTGGACCCTGGTCCTAAACGACGTCTAAATTGTATATTTTTAGTATTAGAATTGTGAACTTCTAGAATATAAATTGTGTTTCTAAGTCAAAACACATAACAACTATAGAATGGAATTTGTGAATACAATACAGGGTCATCAAACCTTAATATGTTAATATTGTGTGACAACAGTATTTGAAAGGAACTTGTGAATACAAAACAGGGTAATCAATTACATATATGTTAACATTGTGTGTTCGTAGTATACAAATTGTGAAATTTTAAAATGTAAATTGTAAAAATTTATTATAGAAATTATGAACATTTAGACTTGAGTCCACCCTGCAAGGTGGACCCAGGTCCACTGAATAGTTTACGGATATAAAATCTCAAAGTTATTTTGATTTGGATCAGAGCTCACAATGCAAGGTAAACCATTGTCCATAGTACAATTTTTCGGTGGGTTGTTGAACAAATCAGATTTAAGAAAATAGATAAATGCATGGTATGATGTAATGAATTCTAAAGTAATAATTGTTTAAAAGGAATTATTATTTGTAATATAGTTTTAACAACCATTTATATCATTAATTAAGAAGAATGGGCACTCATGTTTGGAATTTGGGTGTTTGTTTTATTAATAAAATTTTGTCGTCTTCATCACCTTTCTTACCATATATATATATATATATAAAACATAGCTTGCCAGGCCATCAATTTCCATTTGAGTTAAGATGATCAGATAGAATAAATTTGCAAATATTAAATGGCAGCTCCTTCCCAAGCACTTCCTCAAAATCCAGGTACAGTGGTTTAAATTTGATTCATTAATTCTAGCTAGCTTCCCCATACATGATATGATTATGAAGATGATGTTGCAGATGATTTCTGCAAATACCGGCCACTATACAGAGCTATATTGGCAGCAAATTGGGATCAAGCTCTAATATTCTTCAACCATGACGCTTCATCAATTCAATCTCCACTTACCAACGACTTAGAGACTGCATTACATGTTGGTGCTAAAGCAGGTAATGCCTCCTTTATGGAAAAGCTTGTATCATTATTGTCGGACCATGAACTTGGCCCCAGAGACGTCTATGGGCTTACCCCACTTCACATCGCTGCCCGCCATGGAAACATTGAGGTGGCTCATATCCTTGTTCGCAGGAATTCTAATCTCCTCTATCTTCAAGACGACAATGCTTCTTTCGCCATCCATTATGCAGTTACGAATAATCTTCCCAAAAGCAAGGAAGCCTTTGTGTATTTCCTTGGTGTGACTAGGGATGATGAATACGGCCACCCTAATCCATATGCAGGCCCATCTGGTGTCTCCATTCTTCTTAACTTAATCCTATATAAATTCTATGGTACGTATAGGACTCAATCCTTAATTATACCATGGACCAGGAACTACCTTACATTGTAGATCTTGGACCAATTTGTATCTATATTTGGTGCATTTCGTACATGCATACAGTTGGTAGTTTCTGTACATGTAGCTATTATATTATGTGTCAGCAATTATCAAGTTATTTGTTTAAATGTACATAAACTGTTAACTACTGTAAATACAGAATGTTTTAACTGAAGGTACAAAATTTTGTATCTGGGTTCACAATGCAATAGGGTGACTAGGGTCTCACTCCACTATATATTGACGACCATGTTTCATGTGTATGTGTTTTGTGTTATATGACTTTTCGTGTCTTACATTATGAAATTATATATCTTATGAGTATAAATTATGTACCTCGCTCGTCTTTTCAATCTAGTTGTGTCCATAATGCTATATATGCTATGTGTCTTGTGTTGTGATTTTTTGTATTTTATGTTATGAAATTCTGTACCTTATGAGTATGAATTATGTACCTGGTTGTTTCAATTCAGGGCCCATAATGTTATACAAACCTTGGTCTATGATATAAATTGCCTATAGCAGTACATGCCCCCCGGGCAACTATATCTAATCCATTATAAAAATAAATAATAAATAATAAATATTTTTAAATAAAAACATTATGTTTGACTAATTTTAATGAAGTTGGTACAAATAGCATACTGTTCCATTTATACTACCTATAAAACTAGCAAACCTATCAAAAACTAGCAAACCTATCAAATAGTGGTGTAAATATCAATCAGGGTTGTGAAAATAGAATTCCTATAATTAGCATGGCTATTCCTGTAATAGTTAAGTGGTTAGCTAGCAAAGATGGTTGTTGAACAGCTAAGATTTGAGAAAATAAATAAATGCATGGTATTATGATGTAATGAATTCGAAAGTATTTGTTTAAATGGAATTATTATTTGTAATATAATATAGTTTTAACAACCATTTATATCATTAATTAAGAAGAATGGGCCCTCATGTTTGAAATTTGGGTGTTCGTTTTATTAATAAAATTTTGTCGTCTTCATCACCCTTCATAGTTCATACCATATAATAGTAGGAAAGTTGTAGCTAGCTGCCAGCTGACCAGCTGTTGAAACAATCCTTATACCATGGAGTCAAACTTAGGTGTGTTTGGTTCGCACATGAGAATCGAAATTAGAATGAGTATTAAATACTTGGTAAATAGTAATGAGTTTTAGTGAAAGTATTTTGCATGTTTGGTATTGGTAGTAGTGTGGAATGTGAATTATTATCAATGATGCTGTTTTGTTGGAATATGGACTACATCGGAGAAGCAGAGATGGAGCAGATTGAAGAAAAAGAAGATTAATTGTTATTCTGATAAAGTGTGTGTATTACAGAGAAGACAAAAGACTATATATGAAGCGGTTAAAGCATAAGAGGATTAGACAAAAATAGCCCTATGCTATTTTTATCTTCCAACACCCCCCGGTAAGCTGGAGCGTGTAGATCCTACATGCCCAGCTTAAATACAAAAGGTAGTGAGGACTGCTACTGTAAACATATAGCGAAGCAAAACAGAGCTTTTAGTGTAGAAACATCTCCAGATTGAGAGACAAGCAGTAAAAAAAAATATAGAGCAACTCTTCCACCTACTTCATGGCAACTCTTCATCCTTCTTGAAATTTGATGCTAGCCAATTGTATAGAATTTCTCTCTGAAACAATACATGTATACTGATTGTGGAGCAGGTCAAATTTGTTTCCAGCATGTTGAGCAGCAAATTCTTTCTCTTCATGGATCATCTTAAACCAATTGTCAAAAAAACCATTAAGATGAATGACCTTCTCTTAAAGGGTTCGACTTTGATTATCCAATTTAGTGAGTTTCATAGCCAGAAAATTGACAAAATCACGAAGGTTCTTTACTTCCTGAAGTGCCATTTCTAATCTGTCAGCAACATCTTTGTTGCTAGATATAAGTTCACACTTCTCTTTCTCTAAATTCTGTGAAATGTTGCTCAAATTTCTCAACTCATCTCCTTTCAGTCTTGATTCAAGATTCAACTCTTCCAATTTAGACTTCAAAGTCTCCACGATCACCGCACCAAGATCAAATACGAGGATGTTTTTCTCACCACCTTTCTTGTCCAGTCCATAGGTAATGGCAGTGGCAGCTGGTTCATTAATAATTCTTGCAACATTAAGTCCAGCAATAATACCAGCATCCTTGGTAGCTTGCCTTTGAGCATCATTGAAGTATGCAGGCACAGTAACAACAGCATCCTTAATTTTCTTCCCAAGGAATGCTTCAGCTGTCTCCTTCATCTTTGTTAGAATCATGGCACTGATTTCCTCAGGGCTGAAGACTTTAACTTCCCCATCTCTGATTTTGACTTGTATATAAGGCTTGCCATCCTTGTTAATAATCTTGTAAGGAACAAGCTTCATATCCCTCTGGACTTCCTTATCCTCAAACTTTCTTCCAATAAGCCTCTTAACATCAAAGACAGTCCTTTCATGGTTGACAGCTGCCTGGTTCTTTGCAGCCTCACCAATCAATCTTTCTGTGTCAGTGAATGCCACCCATGATGGTGTAATACGATTTCCTTGATCATTTGCTATGATTTCAACATGACCATTCTTGTAAACACCAACACAGGAGTAAGTTGTTCCAAGATCTAGGGGTGTTCATTCGGTTAACCGTTCGGTTAACCGAACCGTTTTAACCGAACCGAATTAACCGAATTTTTTTTTGCCTTAACCATTAACCGAACCGAAATGCGTTCTACCGAATTAACCGAACCGAACTTTTTTTCGGTTAATCGGTCGGTTAACCGATTAACCGAAATTTTTAACCCTAAAATTGAAAATCCTAAAAATAACTCCTAAAATAATAAATTCAATTAAAATAAAATACATATCATAATAAATTCATATCAAAACATACAAAAATAATACCATAAGTCCATAATCCATTTGACTATTTGGGATTTTAGTACATATTATATATTTATATTTAATATTTAATATATTATATATATATTCCAAAATTCGGTTAACCGTTCGGTTAATTCGGTTAACCGACACTTTCGAACCGAATTAACCGTTAACCGAATTTTGGGAAAACCTTTAACCATTCTCCGAACCGAAATATTTCGGTTAAAAAACGGTTAACCGAATTATGTCGGTTCGGTCGGTTAACCGAAATTTCTCCGAAATTTGCACAGCCCTACCAAGATCAATTCCAATAACAGTTCCTAATTTTGTTGCCTCCTCCTTTGCGATAGAAACTGCAGATAGACATCCAATGAAGACGATCGCTATCACGACGAGCGAACCACCTCGCCTCCAATAGCCTCCCACGACCACGTTCACCGCACCTTTTTTAGTGTCCAACCCAGCATTCCTGGGATTCAGGCTCACTAATGCATTTTTACAAACAGTTGGTGTATCTAGCAATTGTTCACTAATCTCAACACAATCAGCATGTCTAACCCCCTCAATAGCCTTACAAAAAGACGTAGATGCTAGATTAGAAGGATTACCAGATTCTGGCTTAGACACCTCCTCACCAAACGCTCTATTTTCAGCTAACTTCGATTCAGCGGCAGATTCTATTTCCGCCTCTGTGTCTCCGCGATGCTGATCGCTAGTTGGAGTCGTCTCTCTGCTGAAACTGCAATGGAAATAATAATTTGAATTGTCGGTTACGAAATCCTCTTCCTGCAGATCCAAAGATCTCCAGATCTCATTCGCAACCTCTCTTGACTTGCGATGTGCGGCGCCTGAGCTCTTCGACGTTGACGGAGCACGATCAGACGTCGCAGAAACAGCCGGAGACATTGAATTTTCCAAGAAATTCACGTCGATTTCATTGTTCGGCTTCCTAGCTTTACCGGACAACGAAAACCTCTCAACGCTAAAAATCGCCTTCCGCTACGGATCGGCTACGGGCATCTGCTGCTCCGAACTCAGATTCCCCTGCGAAATCATTGACGATGCTGATCTAACTGGTGATCGAGCACCGGCATCGTTGCTACGCATCCTCTGCGGATGGATTGGAATCATCCTCTGCGGATGGATCAGAATCATCCTCTGCGGATTAACTAGGATTGCACAGGGACTATTCAGGTGTCGGCGTCGCTTCGCTTCATCGACTTCTCCGGCACCGGAAAATGCAGCAGCGTGGATGAGCTCCCGCCGCTCTGATACCATGTTGGAATATGGACTACATCGGAGAAGCAGAGATGGAGCAGAATGAAGAAAAAGAAGATTGATTGTTATTCTGATAAAGTGTGTGTATTACAGAGAAGACAAAAGGCTATATATGAAGTGGTTAAAGCATAAGAGGATTAGACAAAAATAGCCCTATGCTATTTTTATCTTCCAACATGTTTGGTTATGTATAATCATATAATGAGAATAAAGATTTTAAAAATACAAGAACACACAATCAAGACAATTGATTCTAATATAAAGACATCCAAAACAACAATATGAACAAAAAAATAAAAACAAAAATTTAAAAGCACTAATCAAAGGGGATGAGAAGGAATAAGGGAATGAAAGGAGATGATACCCTTATTTTATTTGGGTATGAGTTTTTCAATTAATGGGATATTTGAGACCCATAGTAGTGTTCTAAAAACCTATCAACTAAAAAATACCAATCACTTTGATACTTATTCCTTAGAGCTAAACCTGTCAACCAAACACACCCTTAGTAACTCAACTTAAAATCTTATTATTATTATTATTATTATTATTATTATTATTATTATTATTATTATTATTATTATTTTATTTTTTATTTTTTATTTTTTACAAAGTTTGACTAATTTCGTTGTCCTGTAATAAGAAAGTGGGTAGCTAGAAAAGATGGTTGTCAATTGTTATACTATGGATCCGAGTTAATATTGCATTGTGAACTCTAATTTAAAAATTAAGTATATATAGTTAACATATTCTGTACCTGCAGTTAATAATTTCTGTATCTATAAACAAATTAAAAGCACATAATATAGTAATTACAAACACATAACATGATAACTGCAGACTGAAATTATTAACTGCATGTATAAAATATGTTAATTGTAGACACATAAGCTGTTGGTTAACATGTTATGTGTCTGCAATAACATATTTTGTATATCCAGTTAACAATTTATGTGTGTAGTTATCATGTTATTGTTTGTAATTTTCATGTGATGCATCTTCAATTTGTTTATACAAGTACAAAAACAGGTAACTGCATAGAATGTGTCAAACTCAAGTACAAAAGAGTTGTATACCATGGACCAGGGTCCACCCACAGGTGGGCCCACCTACAAGGTGAACCTTTCAGGTGGACCATGGTCCTAAACGTCGTATAAATTATGTATTTTTAGTATTGAAATTGTGAACTTCTAAAATATAAATTGTGTTTCTAAGTAAAAACACATAATAACTATAGAATGGAATTTGTGAATACAATATAGGGTCATCAAATCCTAATATGTTAATATTGTGTCACTACAGTATTTGAAAGGAACTTGTGAATACAAAATAGGGTAATCAATTACATATATGTTAATATTGCGTGTTCGTAGTATACAAATTGTAAATTTTTAAAAAGGTAAATTGTGAACATTTATTATGTAAATTATGAACATTTAGACTCGGGTCCACCCTACAAGGTGGGCCCAGGTCCACAAAATAGTTTACAGATATAAAATCTCAAGGTTATTTTTAAATCGGATCAGAGTTCACAATGCAAAGTAGACCATTGTTCATGGTACAAGTTTTCGAGGGTTGTTGAACAAATCAGATTTGAGAAAATAGATAAATGCATGGTATGATGTAATGAATTCTAAAGTAATAATTGTTTAAAAGGAATTATTATTTGTAATATGGTTTTAACAACCATTTATATCATTAATTAAGAAGAATGGGCACTCATGTTTGGAATTTGGGTGTTCGTTTTATTAATAAAATTTTGTCGTCTTCATCACATTCATACCATATAATAGTAGGAAAGTGGTAGCTACCTGACAGCCGACCAGCTATATATACCGACCATTATTCTGAACAACTATATATAAATCATAGCGTGCCAGGCCATCGATTTCCATTTGAGTTAAGATGATCAGATAGAATAAATTTACAGAAATTAAATGGCAGATTCTTCCCAAACACTTCCTCAAAATCCAGGTAGAGTGGTTTAAATTTGATTCATTAATACTAGCTAGCTTCCCCATACATGATATGATGATGGTATGATGTTACTCCTTGTCCTATTTTACCTGTTTATCACCATACCACCCCCACGATCACGTTTTATTATTATTATTATTATTATTATTATTATTATTATTATTATTATTATTATATTCTAAACAAAACAATTAAAATGTTTAATTATACAATGCTGACTCATTTTTCAAAAAATGAATCAAACCTTAAAACAGCTATTAAACCAAATTAAACTAAACATTGAAAATGAAAATGTTTTATGATAGTTATTTTCCTATTTTCCTATTTACTTATTATATTTTTTT